TCTATTAATATATATTTTTATTACATATTATTATAAATATCTATTGTATAAATAAAATAAATTATGTAAATTAATAATATAAATATAAATATAATATAAGTGGGGAGGCAGAATAGGGTTTGAGGAACCGATTTCCTATTTTAAGTTCTATCATATTAGATGGAACATGTTTTCTTAAGCACAAGGGAATAAGGAAGTTCTAGGTGGGACTTCTTTATTGTATAAGTTTCGTGCATCAAACATGGAACTTGTACAATAATGGAGAAGTTCTTTTTTCCTCCCCTAACTTCTTGTTATCAAACAACCCTAATGTACTTTCCTACTTTTTCACTTTGTTTGTCATTTCTTGTGGCCTATAGTTATCAATATTGGAGCCGACCAGTAGAGCTGACTAGTTAGACTATTGCTTGGTTGTTTGGTTGATCTACTCCAAAGCAAAAATTAGGTTGGTAAAAAACTGGTCAAACCGATATTTCTATCAATTTGGCTAATTGCACCGTTCAATTTTAACCAGTTAAATAAAGTTAGATAACAATTTTGCTAAATTCAATCCAACCAGTTTGACAAACAATCAAACTGGCTTTGACTAGACCCCTTCTAGTTTTGGTAGCTTGTCCATAACACTTACTCTCAACCCTTTCTTTTTTTTTAATAGTTGTAAAACATGAAACATATTACAAGGGGAAAAAATTTATATAGAGTAGAGGCTCTAAAAAATCAGATTAGTGCCCACATAAAAAAATTCACTAGAAGTGGCAGTTTTGATGCTCAAATATCCTCGAATTGATCATCTCAACATCAAGATGCATGGACATGAGAAAAAATTAGATTTCAAATTTTGGAAATAGCGCATCTTGTAATGCATTTTTGGACCATCAATTTTCAAGATTTTCAAGTTTTCATAGATTTGCTCAATCTACACTATATTTTAACCTTTAGATTTTATAACTAAAGATGAAAATATATTTTAAGGTAATCACAAAGATTTTAAGTATTGAAATCACATTTCTCGACAGTATTTGAAGGTGCACTTTACTTTGATTGTTTAGAGCCTCGGCTCTATACAAATTGCACCCTTAAAAGAATTGACAAAACTTATTTAGCTTGTCAATATTAAATGGTTCAATCAATTAGAAATTAAATTGAGCTTTTACTTTGGACTAGACCAGCACAAGGACGGGCCAACAGTCTACCTAGTCGAACTAGCTAGGCCAATCTTCATAGCTATTACTAAAACATTCGGAAAAGAGCAATTGGCTAGCCCAGCGTTTTAAAAAACGCCGCCCGGTTCGACTCGGAAATAGTGAAAAAGGAACCGGATCGCCCAAAAATCGGAAATCGTCCGGTTCTAGAGAGAACCGGACGATTCTGTATAGTGAATCACCGATTCACTGTACGGAATCGGCGAGTCCGAACAGTGAATCGCGATTCCGTACGGAATTTTTTTTTTTTTTTTTTTTTTTCGGTAATCCATGATAGATTTTTTTGTAATCCATGATCGAATTTTTGGTTTTTTGTAACCCATAATAGAA